TATATATATATATATATATATATATATATTACTACTTTTAAGTAACTATTAAGTTATTGTTGAAATAAATGATGAACATAGTTTTTTAAATGTAAATTAATAAAAAATTTCTTATTTTTAAACATACTTATCTAGAGCTTTTTTGGGACATATTTTTCAAGGAAAATTATTTTTTTTGAAGAACGTGTTGCTAAAGAGTGAATATGATTGATTGAAAATAATTTTAAAAATCTTTGACAAACAAATCCTTACTTATATGTAAATACTAACTATTACTCTAATTATAAGAAAACTTTTTAAGCTTAGCCAAAGATGCTCGACTTAATTAGGATTTGTTTGGCGTAGCTGTTGTGAGAGGAAAGCGTTTTGATTAGAGCTTTTTTTACACTACAGATTTTACAAGGAGAATTGTTATTAAAAAGTTGTTGATTGTTTGATTTTCAATGAAAGCAGTGCTATGAAAATTAAAATGTTTGTTCGGTATTGTAACTATAAAAATGTTTTTGATTATGATATATTATACATTTATTTGATTAAACTTTAATCAATTATTTTATCTGAAAAAATGTTTCATGAGTAAAATTTATTTCATTAGCATGTCATAATCATTTTAGTACACGTCGGTTTGGTTCGGTTCTAAAGAGAACTGAACCGAACGAAAATTTTCGGGTATTTAGTAAATGGAACCGTCGGGTCCAAATATAATTATAGAACCGTTCGGGTTCGGTTCCGTTAGGTTCGGATCGGTTCGGTTCCGTTCGGTTCTATACTATAATTAAATTTTTTTTTACATTTATAACAGCATTATATAAATATAACTAATGACACGTTCAATGGTTTTGAAATGTCAGAGACTAGTAAACTACCTTATTCAAATGATCCCTACGGTCAAAATTTCGGTTGGCGGAGGTCACAGTTTTGATCGGAAGTCACAGCGTCGATCGACAATTGTATAAGTTTTGGAATATCAGCGAGGCTGCGAGAGTCGAGACAACGTTATGCACTTTAGTGTAGGTGTTTAGGGTTATTTAGTGGGTTGGATCTTGTTGGGCTAAAAAATGAGACAATAAAATAGGTAATTGGGCCAAAAATAAAAAAAATTAGAAATGAAACAAATTATTGGGCCAAAAATTTGAATTTAGAAATTGTTAATTTGTTAATTTGTTTAGAAAAAACTAAAATTAAAATAATTTGATTTATTCAATATAAAAAAATTAGAAAGATTCGGTTCTTATTTGATTTTTCAGTTCTTGGTCTAGAACCGAGAATCGAACCGTACCCGTCGGTTCTCAATTCAGATACCCATTCGGGTATTTAATTTGACAAGAACCGTCGGGTTCGGTTCGGGTTCGGGTTCGGTTCGATTCGGGAGATTTGCCCAGCCCTAGTACACACACACATATGTAGAGCTTTTTCAATAAAAATTCGAATTTCTCCATAACAGTTTCGAAAAACTTTTAAACCTTCTCTTTTTTTCTTTTTTTTTTTCTTTGGGTCAACATAACTTTTTTGTTAACTTGAAAGTAACATTCATTATTTTTTGCTCTCCATGAAGTGCTTCAAAGGTTTTTTAAGAAAATTCTTCCCGAATACTCATTTAGTAGTAAAAAGTGAATTTCGCGTGTTCAAGTTTCTATTCATTTTATGTTTGAACTGATGAGAACTAAACTCGTTTAATTCGAGTTAAATTGATTATTATTTATATGATAAAAATTAAAATTTGAGATTTTTTTCTTTTCTAATTTGCACTCTAGACCATATATACATAGTAAAAAATACAAGTAACAAGAAGTCAAGATTAGTGGTTCAACTCCATCAAAAGTCACAACAGCACCTTGTTAATTCTTAATTTCTTATATAACACGTACGACTTTGACAAAAAAGTAAAGGGATAATTGCCGCGGAAGTCCCAAACCTTTGAAACATTAGCAGATTTTTTTCAAACATTTGATTTATTGCAGTCGTCACTCTTAACTTTTTCAAACGTTGTATCTGAGACCCTTTTGGACTTTTTTCATCCAAAATCTCGTTAGTTAACCAGAAAAGTAATTTTGACTACATTTTAAAAATTTTTAAAGGGGCAAAATGATAATTTCACATCAAAATCAAAATAAAAAAAGAAAAGAAAAGTATAGTAAAGTAAAATTGGTTTTCTTCCCTATATCCACCCCCATCACAC